TGCACCAAGCTCCACGTGGGCAGGCGCAGAGGAGAAGCCGTTGATCAGATGGAACGCGGGGCAGCCTCTTTCAGCTGACAGCCACCGTCAGCTGGCTGGGGTGTTTCAGCCCTCCCGACCTCCCAGCTCCCACTATTCCTCGCAGCTACTCACCTGTGTTGTTGTTTGGTGAGTAGCTGCTCCTCAAATGAGGAAATCTAATGTAAATGTACTGCGCAGGCGCGCAGTTCAGAGAGGGGTCAAGAGCTACTCTTAGAGCCCCTGAGATCTACCGGTAGATCGCGATCTACTGGTTGGTGACCACGGCCCTATGGACAGTGTGAAACTCCCTCCAAGAGATCCCCTCCTGCTTGGCTCTGCCTCACATGGTGAGTAGCTGCTCCTCAAATGAGGAAATCTAATGTAAATGTACTGCGCAGGCGCGCAGTTCAGAGAGGGGTCAAGAGCTACTCTTAGAGCCCCTGAGATCTACCGGTAGATCGCGATCTACTGGTTGGTGACCACGGCCCTATGGACAGTGTGAAACTCCCTCCAAGAGATCCCCTCCTGCTTGGCTCTGCCTCACAGTGGAGACCCCGGCTGCGCTCTGCACCCACCATGCGGTAAAGAGGAGGCAGACGTGGCTGCCGCAGGAGGTGACCTACAGCCCGGCCCCGCTGCTCCTGCGCTCTCAGGCCAAGGAGCCTGATGTGGTCGCGGTGAGTCCCCCCGGCCCTGATGGCTCCAGCTGGGCCCAGCTCCAGAGCCGCCTGCCGCAAGTGTGAACTTCAGCCCCAGCACGGTCCCCGGCCTCCACAGGACACACGCGTGGAGGTGGGGTCTGGCTCCCAGCTGCCTCTTCCTAAACCTCTCAGCTGTGGCCACCAAGGAGCCCAAAGCCCAGGAGCCCTCACAGGTCGGGCGGCAGCCGTGTAGGCCTGTAGCCCCCCCCAACCCTAAGCCCCCTCATTGCTCTGGTCAGCTGGCCCTCGGCTGCAGAATGACCCCAGGTTCCAGCTGTGCCAGTGATGGAAATGGGCAGGATGAGGCAGGGAAAGAATCTACCATTCACGGGCTAACCCTGCATTGCCTGGCCAGCAGTCCCAGGGGCAGCCTCTGGCCTCCCCGCCTGCACCCTGCCCGCTGTCCCTCCCGCCAAGACTCGCGCCAGGGGCCGGGGGGAGGGATTTTCCGAGACACACCCGGGCCATGGGAGTTGGGCGCCTCTGGGCTGCTTGTGCTCTGCCGGGGGAGACCAGCTGGAGCCCAGTGATGCAGCAGGTGCCCCATAGGGTCCCATAGCAGAGCCCTCTGCACATCTGCCTCCGGTGGGAGGGGCTGGGGGAGCTGAGGGTCGGTCCTGGGAGTCAGTGAAGTCAAGGGCCTTCCTCTACGGAGAGTGAGACCCTGAGGAGGGGCTGGCCCATGTAGAAAGTTGAGGGAAGGTAACATGGAGTCAGCAGGCCTAAGGCCTGTAACATGAAAACAGCAACAGGCCTGCAAGCTAGTGAGCAAGACTTTGGTTCAGTAACTCAGATACTCATAACTGTGTAATTGTGTAAGTTAGGACACAGGGAGGCACGGAGAACAGACTGGAAGCCGAAAGGGAGTAACGGAACATCTTAAGGAATGTCCTGGTACAAAAACTCCCTAAACACGAATGCACATTCCGACCTAGGTTCAGGACCAGGTCGGAATTGACAGCATGAAGGATAGTAAGTGAGCCCCTCTTCCGTAAGATGAGGGGTGGTAACTAGGCAACAGAGAGTGGTAACCCGTACATAAAGAAATGATGTAAGTTGTTTGTCTCTGTCTATAAAAGGACACTGCAGAGGGTGCTCTCCGGCCGACCTGGGGCGGCGCACTAGGCGCCTGAACGGCAGGTGTCGTTGCCTAAACTTACAGAATGCACAGTAGCTTAACTTTGACTAACTGCTGTTAATATCTGATCTATGGCAATAGACCTGTTGGTACCTTGTCAACGCGGGCCATAGTGCCCAGTGGTGTAAC